TCACCGGTGGGATGATGGGGATTATAGTTCACCGGTGGGATGATGGGGATCATAGTTCACCGGTGGGATGATGGGGATTATAGTTCACTCGGTGGGATGATGGGGATTATAGTTCACGGTGGGATGATGGGATTATAGGTGGGATGATGGGGATTATAGTTCATCGGTGGGATGATGGGGATTATAGTTCACCGGTGGGATGATGGGGATTATAGTTCATCGGTGTGGGATGATGGGGGATTATAGTTCATCGGTGGGATGATGGGGATTATAGTTCACCGGTGGGGTGATGGGGATTATAGTTCATCGGTGGGATGATGGGGATTATAGTTCACCAGTGGGATGATGGGGATTATAGTTCACCGGTAGGATGATGGGGATTATAGTTCATCGGTGGGATGATGGGGATTATAGTTCATCGGTAGTATGATGGGGATTATAGTTCATCGGTAGTATGATGGGGATTATAGTTCATCGGTAGTATGATGGGCACGGTCTACCCTTGTCTAGGCAGTGTGGTGGTGAGTGTATTGCAGCTTTTATATAATTGTGCTGCCCCTCCTCTTTCTGGTCACTGTGGCGCCCCCTACAGGACTCCTAGTATTAGGCAGCTTTGCCTGACTGTCCTCCATGATTCTGAAGCACACCCCATACACGGCACAGGAAATGCTTGTTTCCGCTTTAGTTCCAGTTTGTAAATTCATTTATATGGGGTCATATGCCTCCCTCCCGCTCATTTTATTTACATTCTTCAAATATTTTTATTCATGGCAGAAATTCTGCGTTGGGGGAATTTGTAGAAGTCTGAGAGCCGTATGTTCCCGGATTATTAGATAAAGAATGGAGGGATTGCTTTCTCTTTTCATTGTGATCGTGTTGTAACATGTGATTTGTCAGCTGTACATTGTGTGATTGGGGAGTTGTACAGAGTGTAGAATTGTAGGGTTGTATAGTATTGTTCCATGGGGGGTGTTATGTAATAACGGGGGAGTTGTACAGAGTGTAGAATTGTAGGGTTGTGTATAGTATTGCTCAATGGGGGGTGTTATGTAGTACTGTATAACGGGGGAGTTGTACAGAGTGTAGAATTGTAGGGTTGTATAGTATTGTTCCATGGGGGGTGTGTTATGTAGTAAATGTATAAACGGGGGAGTTGTACAGAGTGTAGAATTGTAGGGTTGTATAGTATTGTTCAATGGGGGGTGTTATGCAGTAATGTATAACGGGGGAGTTGTACAGAGTGTAGAATTGTATGGTTGTGTAGTATTGTTCAAATGGGGGGTGTTATGTATAATGGGGGAGTTGTACAGAGTGTAGAATTGTAGGGTTGTATAGTATTGTTCAATGGGGGGGTGTGTTATGTAGTAATGTATAACGGGGGAGTTGTACAGAGTGTAGAATTGTAGGGTTGTATAGTATTGTTCAATGGGGGGTGTTATGTAGTACTGTATAACGGGGGAGTTGTACAGAGTGTAGAATTGTAGGGTTGTGTAGTATTGTTCAATGGGGGGTGGGTGTATATGTATAACGGGGGAGTTGTACAGAGTGTAGAATTGTAGGGTTGTGTAGTATTGTTCAATGGGGGGGGGGGGTATGTAGTAATGTATAACGGGGGAGTTGTACAGAGTGTAGAATTGTAGGGTTGTGTAGTATTGTTCAATGGGGGGTGTTATGTAGTAATGTATAACGGGGGAGTTGTACAGAGTGTAGAATTGTAGGGTTGTATAGTATTGTTCAATGGGGGGTGTTATGTAGTAATGTATAACGGGGGAGTTGTACAGAGTGTAGAATTGTAGGGTTGTGTAGTATTGTTCAATGGGGGGTGTTATGTATAATGTATAACGGGGAGTTGTACAGAGTGTAGAATTGTAGGGTTGTATAGTATTGTTCAATGGGGGGTGTTATGTAGTAATGTATAACGGGGGAGTTGTACAGAGTGTAGAATTGTAGGGTTGTGTAGTATTGTTCAATGGGGGGGTGTTATGTAGTAATGTATAATGGGGGAGTTGTACAGAGTGTAGAATTGTAGGGTTGTGTAGTATTGTTCAATGGGGGGTGTTATGTAGTAATGTATAACGGGGGAGTTGTACAGAGTGTAGAATTGTAGGGTTGTGTAGTATTGTTCAATGGGGGGGGTTTATGTAGTAATGTATAATGGGGGAGTTGTACAGATGTAGAATTTATAGGGTTGTATAGTATTGTTCAATGGGGGGTGTTATTGTAGTAAATAAACAGAGTGGGGGTAGTTGTACAGAGTGTATAATTGTAGGGTTGTTAGTATTGTTAACAATGGGGGGGTGTTATGTAGTAATGTATAACGGGGGAGTTGTACAGAGTGTAGAATTGTAGGGTTTGTAGTATTGTTCATTGTGGGGGGGGGGTGTTATGTAGTACATGTATTACGGGGGAGTTGTGAGTGTAGAATTTAGGGTTGTGTAGTATTTGTTCAATGGGGGGTGTTATGTAGTAATGTATAACGGGGGAGTTGTACAGTGTGTAGAATTGTAGGGTTGTACTAGTATTGTTCAATGGGGGGGTGTTATGTTGTAGTAATGTATAACGGGGGAGTTCGAGTTGTACAGAGTGTAGAATTGTAGGGTTGTATAGTATTGTTCAATGGGGGGGTGTTATGTAGTAATGTATAATCGGGGGAGTTGTACAGTGTGTAGAATTGTAGGTTGTATAGTATTGTTCAGGGGGGGGGTCCTTTGTAGTAATGTATAACTGGGGAGTTGTACAATATTTTTTTATTTCGTAGAATTGAATGTTTGGAAAATTGTATAGTATTGTGTGAATCGTATTTGTATAATAGGGATGTTGGTCTAACAGTCACATTGATGGGGGTCTTATGATTCCTTGTTAGCTGTTCACTAGATTGTACTGATGATATTACGGTTTACCGGTTGCATTGTGTAGGGTCATGTGACATGCTATATATCTGATTTGTTGTAGTGTAAACTTTGTGTGAATCTCCAATAAAAAGTTAAGTTCCTTGTTGCACCTAAGGCAGTGTCGTCCAGTCGGGTGCAATGTTTATAATACTATGGTCATGTGTTCCAACTGCGAGGAAGCAGTTTCTCTGATGGAAGCACCCAGGCAGTGTGCCAGGCAGGTTGTCACAAAGGCAGACCCCCAATTTATCCTTTATGGGATCACTATTAGTGGTTCTGGACATCTCAGTGACAGCACTGACAGGCTGGAGACAATGACAGGTCCTCCTTGTTGTGTGTGGGCTTGGCATGACAGATCACAGATCCCCCATTCACAACACACACAGATGGAAATACCCGTTACTGTAAACGGATACTCCGGATACCACTGCTAACATATTTTCATCTCCTGGAGGGTCTGCAAACTTTAACTATACATTGTCTGAGCTATAAATGATTCATACCTGTGTTGCAGACATCACTTATATCTAATATACCTTCAGAATAGTAACCCTCCATTGTGTACATTGTATATAATATACTGTTCAGTGGTTGTACATATACAGCGGATACATTGTATATAATATACTGTTCAGTGGTTGTACATACAGCGGATACATTGTATATAATATACTGTTCAGGGTGGTTGTACATACAGTGGATACATTGTATATAATATACTGTTCAGTGGTTGTACATACAGCGGATACATTGTATATAATATATTGTTCAGTGGTTGTACATACAGTGGATACATTGTATATAATATATTGTTCAGTGGTTGTACATACAGTGGATACATTGTATATAATATACTGTTCAGTG